GATTGGTTAAATGGAATCAATTACATACAGTAATGGCAAAGTTCTTGGTTCAGGCTTGCAGCAGCGATAGAATAAACTGCAGGTTCAAATCAAGTCTCTGGAACATCCCCCGCTGGGATGGGTCCTCAGTCCTTTGTTCAGAGCTTCAGCTTGTAGCAAAGTTCCTCCAGAGGTAAGAAGCAGGACTGAAGACAAGATGGAGATGAGGCATCAGCCTTATATAGTCTTTTCCAGGTGTAAGAACACCTCTTTGTCCTTACTGTGGAAAATTACAGCAACATGGAGCCTGGAGTCACATGGGCCAGTCCCTGCATACTTTGCTGAGGTACAAGGCGTATCTGCCTTCTCTCAATGGGTCCATTGTATAGCTGATGGTCCTTAATGGGCCATCAAGCAGGCTAGGCCGAGCTGACACCAGCTTGTCTGGGATGTCACCCAGAAGCATAGCATAAGTTTGCCATACAGACAGTATAGAGCCAATATTCATAACTTCAATTACCAAAACTGATACACACATATAGACAGCATAATCATAACCAGCAAACCATAACCTTGTCTTAGACACCCCCATTTGACCCCCTTTATACAAGATTTGGTGCCACTACAGGACTTTGGTTGCAACCATGATCTATAGGGTCTGAGTTCACATCAGTAGCGTCACAGCTGGTTTCTGAGAGAGATGCCCAGGGGTTAGCACGGGGGTGGGGTGGGTCCCTGGCCTGGGCGATGCTGGGGTGATTGGTCACAGCGGTGCCTTCTGGTCTGGGCCTGTCTGGGAAGAGAGACCCGCCCAGGGGGCAGGGATGGGGCCAAGGGGTCAGAAGGGCGCGTGCTGGGGCTGGCGGGGAGGGCAGCCCGGGGAGCCTGGTGACGGAACGGCTCTCGTCCCCTGCAGACTGCTCCAGGCCCGGCCTCTCACGGGCACCTGTCCTGCTCCCCGCTGCTGCCATGAACATGCCCCAGTCCTTCGGTGCCTTGGTCAGCCTGTCGCTGGGGGAGAGCGCGCCCCCCGTGGCGCCGAACGGCACCCAGCCGCCGCCAGCCGTGCCACCCCCCGGCGAGCGCTGCTGGCCCATCCGGCCCACGCTGCGCAACGAGCTCGATACCTTCTCTGTCCACTTCTACATCTTCTTCGGTCCCAACGTCTCGGTGCCGCCCGACCGGCCCGCGGTCTTTGGCATCAGCCTGCTGCCGGTGCTCGACAGCGGGGGGGTGCTCAACCTGGAGCTCAAACTCAACGTGGTGAGTGACCCCCCCCCACGGTGAGGGCAGGGCAGCACCACTCAAGGGCGGGGGCACTGGCAGGGCTGTGGGGTGCCCGGGGCTGGGATGGGGGGGGCTGTGACTCAGCGTTGGGGGCATCGGCAGAGCTGTGGGGTTGTAGGGTGCCCAGAGCTGGGATGGGGGGGCTGTGGGTCGGGGTTGGGGGGCATTGGCAAAGCTATGGGATTGTGGGGAGCACAGGGCTGGGATGGGGGGGCTGTGGGTCGGGGTTGGGGGGCATCGGCAGAGCTGTGGGATTGTGGGGAGCCCAGGGCTGGGATGGGGGGGTCTGTGGGTTGGGGTTGGGGGGCAGTCGGCAGAGCTATGGGATTTGTGGGGAGCCCAGAGCTGGGATGGGGGGGCTGTGGCTCAGCATTGGGGGGCAGCGTCAGAGCTGAGGGGGGCCCAGGCTGGAGTGTCAGGAACTCACTGTTGGGCTCTGTCCCTTTCAGTCATCCCTGCGGGGGGAGAACGTGACGGTCTTTGGGTGTCTGACCCACGAGGTCCCGCTGATGGCAGGAGACAACGCGTCTATCACCTGTGAAACAGGTGAGGGCTGGCCCGTGCCCACGTCCACGCTCCCCAGTAGGTGGCGCCAGAGGGGTGGGCCTGGGGCTATTGGGGCGCCCAGCGGGGGGCGCTGCAGGTGAGGGAGCTGGAGCAGGAGGGGGTCACTGGCTTGGAGCAGGCCGGCTAACCCGGAGCTGCCCGTGTGGAGGCAGACCCACCTGCAGCCAGCGGCTCTGGTTCGGGGAAAGCTGTTCCCAGCCGGCTCCAGCGACACCCCGACCGCCGCGTGGGGGGAGAGCTCGGAGTGGCTCTGGGTGTAGCTGGGCCCTGTCACTGCAGCGTGGGCTGCCCCACAGTGCGGGGAGGGGGCTGGGATGGGAGATGCGAGCATAATGGGGAGTGAGGGACTCTCCCCCCCCACAGCATTGCCCCCAAGGGCCCAGGGCTCCTCCCTTTCCATGGCCCCTATGGGGCTGCCAGGACAGAGTGGGGAGCTCCTGCACCCCGGCCCCTGCTCACTGCCGCTTGCCTCCCCGCAGGGTCCCTGACTGGATTCCTGCTGTCTGTCAACAGCACGGCCAGCCTGGCCCGCTTACGGATCCCCTACCCCCAGACAGGCAGCTGGTACCTGAGCCTACGCGCGCTCTGCGCCACGGAGCACGGGTAAGGGAGCGCCACGCCGGGGGCCAGGCTGGCACCGGGGGGCAGTTGGTGCATGGAGAGGGGATGGGGCGGAGCTCAAGGGTATGAGCTACGGCTGAGGGTGTACTGGCCGCCCCTTCCCACAGCCCCCATTGGCCTGGAGCAGCGAACTGCGGCCAGTGGGAGCCGCGATCGGTCGAACCTGCGGACGCGGCAGGTAAACAAACTGGCCCAGCCCGCCAGGGGCTTTCCCTGAACAAGCAGCAGCCCAACTTTGAGAAGCACTGGCATAGAGTTCTGTCCATAGGCATGTCCCTGCCTGCCTTGCCGAGTCACAAGGCGTATCTGCCTTCTCTCAATGGGTCAGTTGTGTAGCTGTGACAATGCGATTCTGGCGGGACCCAACTGAGAGGGCCAATTCAGGACAAATTGCTCAAACAGGGCAGTTACAGCCCCAGGCTGGGGTTTTTCCACCTCTAAGGCACCAAACCAGCCAGACTAAGAGGACTTTGGTCTCACCCCACTGGCTAACCACAAGTCACACAAGCAATTCCCTTAGACACTCCAGTTTCCCAGTATCACCATCAGTGCCACTCGTTATGGGGACAAATGGTTATGAAAACCAATACCCCAGTAAAAGAAAAAAGGTTCTCTCGATCCCACAGGACCAAGCCCCAGACCCAGGTCAATATACAAATTAGATCTTACCCACAAATCACGCTGTTGCCAATCCTTCAGAATCTAAAATCTAAAGGTTTATTCATAAAAGGAAAAAGATAGAGATGAGAGTTAGAATTGGTTAAATGGAATCAATGACATACAGTAATGGCAAAGTTCTTGGTTCAGGCTTGTAGCAGTGATAGAATAAACTGCAGGTTCAAATCAAGTCTCTGGAACATCCCCAGCTGGGATGGGTCCTCAGTCCTTTGTTCAGAGCTTCTGTTTGTAGCAAAGTCCCTCCAGAGGTAAGAAGCAGGATTGAAGACAAGATGGAGATCAGGCATCAGCCTTATATAGTCTTTTCCAGGTGTAAGAACCCCTCTTTGTTCTTACTGTGGAAAATTACAGCAAAATGGAGTCTGGAGTCACATGGGCCAGTCCCTGCATACTTTGCTGAGTTACAAGGCATATTTGCCTTCTCTCAGTGGGTTCATTGTATAGCTGATGGTCCTTAATGGGCCATCAAGCAGGCTAGGCAGAGCTAACACCGGCTTGTCTGGGATGTCACCCAGAAGCATAGCATAAGTTTGAAATACAGACAGTACAGAGCCAATATTCATAACTTCAACTACAAAATTGACACACACATATAGATAGCATAATCATAACCAGCAAACCATAACCTTGTCTTAGACACCTCATTTGACCCCCTTTATACAAGATTTGGTGCCACTACAGGACTTTGGTTGCAACCATGTTCTATATGGTCCCAGTTTATGTCAATAACGTCACACCCCCAACGCAAAATTGATGCAGGAAGGGATGACACCAACATCACTGACTGCATCCCAAGAGCTCCCCATCCTTGGGTCTGTCTCACTACAGCTAGTATTGGGTTAGAAGCCATATCAGTGTATAAGAGAAATGGTTTATCAAAGCCATGTTCAATAACATGATTGAATCTCGTTACAAACTCAAGGTAAATCTTGGTTAGAACAATAGTGGATTGGATCTGCTCTGGCAGCATGGTTCCTGTATGTTTCATGTGATCTTGCCAAGAGCTAAAGAAAACAGCTACTTTATCCATACAAGGTCTGGCAAATGTTTGGAACCCAATTAACATGAAATCAATGTAGATATTAATGATGTTCATAGTACAGGAAGCTTGGCATTTAGCCATTAAAGCAATATGGTAGTGTGCCTCAGTTTCCCTTTTCATACAGCACATTAGGACTGGAATGTTTTTTCCCCTGTGAAAAGTTCCAATACTGTTTACAGGCATCAACTGTGAAATACCAGTATAACAAGGCCTTTTAACATAACGTGTGTTCTCATGTATTCCTTTTAATATGTTCAAGGGATTTTTTAAAAGATTAGGCACATTGCACATTTTTACAGTTTGTGGTAATAGCAACACAGTCGTTACAAAAATTACCATTAGCAACAACAAATTCATTGCAAGTGTCCATTTACAATCATGTTTGTCATGCCACACCTTTGGCTCAATACCATTGGAGTTTGGGCATTTTAGGGTTAACCTGTGGCTTCTCTTTGCAAAATTCAGTTTTATCTTTCCTCCTTGTCCTGCAGGATCAAACCCCGATATCTCTTGCTTAACAGAATTCACTGGCTGATGGGGTGGGCTCTCTGTGCTAACAGCTGTGACAGGTTGGATCACAGAAACCCCCTTGGGAACTGCCACCCGATGTGCAAAAGACTACCCCTGCTTCTGTTTTCCCTGCCAGGTCAGGACTCCAGCCCCGTCTTGCTGAGCCAGACACGCCCGTCTGCTCCAACACAGACCCAGGGTCTGAATCACTTGTCCCAAAGCTGCAAGTTTATCTGAAAACAGCTCCCAGAAGTGTGCTTGTCCTTAGCACTCAGATGCCCAACTCCCAATGGGGTCTAAACCCAGATAAATCCGTTTTACCCTGCATAAAGCTTATACAGGGTAAACTCATAAATTGTTCTCCCTCTATAACACTGATAGAGAGATATGCACAGTTGTTTGCTCCCCCAGGTATTAATACATACTCTGAGTTAATTACTAAATAAAAAGTGATTTTATTAAATACAGACAGTAGGATTTAAGTGGTTCCAAGTAGTAACAGACAGAACAAAGTAAGTCACCAAGTAAAATAAAATAAAATGCACAAATCTATGTCTAATCAAACTGAATACAGATAATTTCCTCACCCGTTCCAGAATGCTCCCTTTTACAGACTAATCTCCTTTTAGCCTGGGTCCAGCAATCACTCACACCCCCTGTAGTTACTGTCATTTGTTCCAGTTCCCTTCAAGTATCCTGGGGGGGTGGAGAGGCTACTTCCTTAGCCAGCTGAAGACCCCATGGAGGGGTCTCCCACGGGTTTAAATAGACTCTCTCTTGTGGGTGGAGACCCCCCTCCTCCCTCCTATGCAAAGTCCAGCTCCAAGA